TGGGGTCAGTCGTTGATGAATCTGTTTTAACTAGCAAAGCAGTCCTTACCCATGCCATTTTGGAGGGTTTGGCAAAATATGGAAGATTTAACTGAGAGAGACTAAAAAGTACCATTGTGATGAGGCAGAAAAAATAGCTGTTTTCTGTCCATTTAACTTCATACCAGGTTAGATGAAAAAAACCCCAACCTTTCAAAACAAGTCTCTATGAATGAATTTATTTCCTTGCTGCATATGTACCTAGCTGACAAAAACTATGAAAAATAGCAAAGTCAAGCCATACCTAATGTGCTGTTTATGTTTCAGCCATTTGCCAACCTCTATGGAGTTCACCCATTCTATATGTGTGTAGAAGCTGACTCCAACGCCCACGGCGTTCTTCTTCTGAACTCCAACGCACAAGGTAAAAAGATATATGGATTTCCTATATGGACTGTGTATTGAAGGATAGTAAATTAGTAAATATGAAAAAAATGTTTTACTGATTGCCTTTGCAATGTGGTACAAATCTAAGTGACTGTTCCATAACTGAGGTTCCAGGATTACTATAATGTTTTTAAGGGGACTTCGTTAGAATGACTATCTAACAATGTAAGTTATTTTCAGTGAAAAAAAAAAAAAATATATATATATATGGTTTTTTTTAAGTAGAGGTACATACAGGGAATGGAGAAGGTGGAAGAAATTTCCTCTGGGATTAGCATAATTGAATCAAATCAGTTTAGGTTAGTCCTACATTCTGTCTGTGGAGAATAATTTTGTATGTTTCCATGGTCACCTTACTGTATTAATCCAGTGGTATAATTTCAGAAAAGGGGAATCTTCACCGTCTATAAAACTGCCTGCCAGGGGAAACTGATGACTTCCAATAAGAAGATTAAAATAGTATAGACCAACCCTAAACACAAGCTTGTGGTTCCTTTTTATATAAATGAAACTGAAACAAATGGATCTGGGCAATCTACTCTGTGTGGGTTTCTGTGATTTATTGCTGCACAATGCCAGTCTGAAAGCGGAGATTATAGAAACACTGGGCAAGTGCTAGCCTACGTACAGCTCCTGTTTGCTCATCCAGTCATACCCAAAAGGGGTCAGTCAGTGACTCCTACGTGCAGCCATCTCTGCCTGGGGATACATCTAGGCACAGAAGATCCCAGCATGCATACACCTAGGATGAAATGGGATGGAATAGAAGAGAATAGAATAGGTTCAGTTGGAAGGGACCTACAATAGTCATCTAGTCCAAGTGTCCAACCACTTCAGGGATGACCAAAAGTTAAAGCACCTTGTTAAGGGCATTGGCCAAATGCCTTTTAAGTACTTACAAGCTTGGGGCATCAACCACCTCTCTAGGAAGCCTGTTCCAGTGTTTCACCACCCTCTAGGCAAAGAAATGCTGCCTAATGTCAAGTCTGAACTGCCCCGATGCAGCTTTGAAATATCCCCACGCATAGTGCAGAGCTGGTTTGTAAGGAGAACCTCTTTTTTTCCTTTCAGATGTTTCTCTGAGTCCAAACCCATCTCTAACTTTCCGCACTATTGGAGGGATCCTCGACTTCTATGTCTTCCTTGGGCCGACTCCTGAAAACGTAATTCAGCAATACACAGAGGTTAGTAGAAGAATGCATATGGCACACAGGGCAGTGCCTTGTAATGAACTCCCACCAGTATCTGGTAGGATCAGCAGGTAGCGCAGCCAAAAGTTTGTCCTGATCCGTACATACAAAGCCGTAGCTCTAGTCACATCCGCCGTGTGCTCAAGCATTCACAAATGATCTGAGTGTGGCAGACTGGCTGGGTGTTCAATACACGTGTCCAGACTCTCCTGTGGCATTTCTGTACTGAGTTCAGGAGTCCATTACAGGGATGCAATGGTTAGAAAGAAATTTGTCTGACCTTGCTATTCTCTGGGACGTGACAGTTTTACAGTCCTCACTACATGTCCATAACCATGTTTCAACACTGTGGACGGGGAAAAAAAACCTAGGCAGAGCACAGATGGGAATGTTTGGGAACTTTACATCTGCTGGACTTCAGAGGTGTTGAATGAACTTAAAAGGCTTCAAGTTTTTATTTGTCAGTGGAAATGGACTGTTGATTTTGGAGTCGTCAGCCTCTTTTTTACTAATGAAAACCCATGTAATTGCATTGGAGAGCATAGATGCGAAAAAAAACGTATTTACTGATGTCTCACAGAGCATAACTACTTGCTTTCCAATTGCCCAATGTTTTCCAAAGAACTGAGAGTACACATGCAAATAGCTGTTTTGGGAGTGCACAAGCAATGCTTATCCAGTAAGGGCTGCCCAGAAAAAAGCATCAGGTAACACGTTTTTCCTGGTCACCAAATGCCAGGCGGTGCAGCAACTGGACCCTTGCATAGAAAACTGCCACCTCAGAACCAAGCTCTGTACGTAAAGAACCAGCACCAAGCCCAAAGAGCGTGAAGCAAAGCTGAGAAGGGGCATGTCACTGTGGGAAGGGGGATTTGCACGTGCGTGCCCTGAGGACGCAGCTGCAAACGGAGCCTGAGGTAGGGCATCCCAGAGCTGGGCAGACAGAGCTCACAGTGCGTATGCTCTTCCTTCCCCTCTGCGGCCCCTCCAAAGGGCCTGAGTTCTGATTTTCAGCAATCTTTTTGTCTTTCCCGTCTTTTTAAAGCCCCCATATCCTACTCTTGCCTTCTTCTAAGGGGTCTGAAATGGGAACTAAAATATTGTGGTTTGGACCAAGGGAAAAAGGATTTAGCCCAGAAGGAAAGAATTGCTGGGTCCTGTTTTGGTGATGGAAGGGAGAAGCCACCTCGCTCACGCTGCTGTTTTGGGAAGGTTGGAGCCTCCCTAGTATGGTGGGCTCTGCTAAATCATCCTTTCCTAAGCAACAGGTTCAGGGGGTGCCTTCCAGAGTGGTGGGGGGCTGCCGGTGCCCCTCTGTGTCCCAGAGCCAGAGCAACTGCCCTGTCGCTCAGAGGTTCCCAGCTCCCTCTGCACATCCTCCCCACCAGCCACCTCTGACCCCGGTGGCACAGACCAACCGGCAAACTGGGTTTTGAACTTCGCATTGGCAATCAAGTCAAAAAAAAGCCCTAGCCACAGCTGTGATCCCTGCAATGAAAGCACCTATTTCAGGGGAGTTGCTGCAGCAGTGCGAGCGAGAATAGAGCCATCCCTGTTTCTTTTCAAAGTCTTTTGCTGATGTTTGAAGGCAGCGTTTCTGTGGCTCAGCAGGTGGCCAGCAGCTGAAAATAAAATGAGAGAGTTCTCACTCCCCAGCTGATGGGTACTGGCAGCTCACTTTCCACCCCTGCCTCTCTGGAAATGGAACTGGAGTGAAGAAAACAAGGTAAAGGGGAGCCGGTGGGCGTCTCCTAACTAGACATGTCACATGCCAGGGCAAAAAAGTCCCCTGTTCTGTATTCTTCGAGCTTGCACTCAGCTCTCTAGGGAATCTTAAAGAATGCATGGTAGCAATTTCACAGTGAAATAATAACTTCTTCAGTAAACATCCTGAAATTCCCGGATCGCAAATGTTACAATTACCATATTATTAGCCTCTAGGGTAATGATTTGGCTTTTATGTACAAGATATGTGGGAAGGTGAAGGAGACGGAAAAGACTTCATTTTTCAATTCTTTTTTCTGTCACACTGAGAGGACTCTCGCACATGGTCATTGTCACGACCCGGGGAAGGAGGGGAGGGCTGGAAAGGAGCAGTGTGACCAATTTCTGCAAGGCAGCGCTCAACAGCATCCCACAGCTCTCTCAGCTCTTTGCATGGGTCTTCTGTGTGCCAGGCTGCCCTGCTGCAACCAGCTCCTTAGGGGAATGGCACCTGTCTCCAGCCTGTGCAACCATCACCCCAAAACCCCTTCATGGGGCTTTTTGCAAGGCTCACCCCCTGCATCCTCTCCAGGATGGCCCCAGTGGTACAGCAGGGTGGCCAGGTGCCACTTCAAGACCTGAGCAGCACCCCTGGCCCCTGTCATGATTGTTTCTGTGAAATATTTAGGAGCTTAGCTCTGCTCAGTGCTTTCACGCAGCTCCCTCCAAACCAGTGAGTTAGGACAGCTTTGTAAATAAGCTCTCTAACTCAGTCTCTGGAGTATAAGCTTTCCCCATGCACCTCCCCAGGTTGCTACCAGCACCCAGGGGTGGCCCATGGGCTCTCACACAGAGCTGCTGCTGCTCCGTGGTCAGGCAGCCAGGCTGCACCAAGGCTGGGGATCCCTGCATGGGGATCAGGGATGATTGTGACTGCCCTGCCAGGGCCACTGGCCTCTCTGTGCATCCTTGGAATGAGGACAGGTGGCAGCAAAAGCCATGGTGTCCCTGGACACCAGGCTGTCCCTCGCTAATCCACTTTAAATGGTCTCCAAAAGCAATGCAGGGAGGAGGAAGGGAGCAGAGGGCTGAATGCCAGTGCCTCCATCCCTGCTGCTGTGTCTTGAGTGGAGCAGAGCTGGGCTGGAGGATGCAGCCTGCCAGTGCCACCACAGCGCTGCGGCAGTGATGGCAGTGACAGGGCATGTGCTGGGCATTGTGCAATGGGAAGGAGAAATCTCCATCCTGATTCTTCTTCTCCCTCCTCTCCCTGAGCCCAGCTATGAGCTGCACTGGTCCTGGTGTATCAGACGGTCCTGGCACAGCTATATATATATTTGACAGTAATCACACTTTTCTCCTACTACAGAAGATGTCCAGCGTGCAGAACAGTTATATAACACAAATCTCACTTTTTATGGCAAACACCTCAGTCTGCAGTAGGATGGGAAAAAGCAGTAATAAGCTAAAGTGCACAGCCATTGAGCTGAGCCTAGCTGAGGCTCTACAGCCAGGTCTAATTCCAGACCACCATTTCCAAGTCCACAGGTGGTCTTTCAGGACAGAGTAGCAGTGTGTAGCAGTAGCATCTGAGCTCCATAACAAGATCCTCGGGAAAATTATAGTTCAACAAATGGATATTTAACAGCTGTTGGGTGTAATGAAGGCCATGGATTTGTTATTTTATCACAAATCATCCGATAACAATCTTTAAGAGAGCATACTGCATGTCTGCTGTTTTGAGAGCAAATTGCTGGTTTACTTCCTCCTTGCAGAATCGTAGGAATGTTCTGGGTGGAAGAGACTTTAGCAGGTCTCTAGTCCAGCCTTCTCTTTGAGAGGTAACATGGGGAACCTGCTTCTACCTACAGTTTATCACAGTGAGAGTCTTGCAGTTGAATTTGTGAGTCCCTCAAAAAAGACTAAGCAGCTGATAAGTGTTTGTGCAGCAAAGAAGCTTTGAAGACCCTGGCATATTTTTAGACTCCTGGGATTGTGATCATCTTCTTACTGGTTCAGCATTTGCAGGGCCTTTCTTTTTGCTCTCCTAAAACAAAGTTCAGCCTCTGTGCATAGACTGTCAGTGAAAGTTACCCCCTGCCTGACTAGGTGCCCACAGCCTTCGCCTGCCTGCCTCAGCCATGGGGGATGAGCTGGATACAGGTATCTGGGCCATAGGAGCACCTGTGTAATTTAGCCATTGTGTGGGTATCCAAACACACTATTTCTGTGTCTAAAGCTAGAGCATTGGCCCACTGGGATTTTTATAGTTTCCTCCTACAGTTCTTCTTTAAAGAAAGGAAGTTTAAGCAAATATCAAGCTTCAAGAGTCATTTTATATGGCTAATTAGGGTGCAAGATTAACAGTCTTTCAAGTGGAGCTCCTGTACCTGCGTTGCTAAAGATCTCAGATCCTTTGTAAGCACGGGAAAGAGCACCTCTCTATGGCCTCTGTGATACATAGGGCATAACCCTTCAGGGGTCTCCCTCTCACGTCAGTATCTTTGGTCACAGCGTTACTAGAATAGGATCCTGATTTACCATATAGCATTTATAACTTAGCTAATATCCTTGATGCTCATAGTAATAATGTTATTTGTCCAGTAACCCAACGCAGGGAAAGGGAATACAGATCATCTGCTCCCTGGGCACAGATTCTAGCTGTTAGATACATGTTTTCACTGAACTTTGTTCTTACTGCACAATGTTTCCAGGGTACCTCCTAGATTCATCAGCTCTCAGGTACATCTGAAAAAAGTGGGGGGAAAAAAATTACATAATGTCAAGTTATGTAAAACTGGGAAAACAGTGAATTTATTAAACAACACCAGGAGTTATTTAAGAACCAAGTGCAGGAGGAATTGTGGAACAGAAAAGAGGATCTATTTTTTTTCTGCTTCTGCACTACTATATATTCCTTTTTTTTCCCCCTCAGTTTGAATACCCCATATGTTTGCTGTTTCTGCATTTCTCATGTTTTCCTCCGTCAGTTCCTCTGCCATACCTCATTTACCTTTTCTGATTCTACGGGAGTCAATTTAACCAAGCAGGCTTTCTCTGCCCACTGCATTTTACGATCATTTGTATGCAGAATGCAATCTATATGAATTAACTAGATCCTAAATATATATCAAATCCAACATGAGTTTTCAGGTCTGCAAAATTACATTCCTGCCTCTGCTGATCCATCTGGGAGTAGGTACCATATGTCAGTTACTTTATCAGGAAGCTTCAGGGGGATCCATTAGAGAGAGTCCGCAGCATAATTAGAAAAAAGAACATTTGTTTTCCCAGCTGCCCTGTTTTCATCCTTCCTCTTCAAATGTTCTGCTGATTTCAATTAAGCTCACCATAGATGCACCAGCCTGGTGAACCTGGGGAACTAATAGCTTTAAAACTTAATATCTTACTTGCAAGGTAGATCTTCTTCAGTTGGTTCAGCTGTAATCCTGAACTCCTCAAGGGATGCTGTCATGAAATACTGCCTCGTCGTGGGGCAGCTCTGTGGTCCACAGCCCAGATACCACCGTCATGTAAGGGTGAGCAGCTGAATTTCCACAAACCTCAGAGCTGGGGACGTGAGAAAGACGCTGGCCAGCATGCCGGTGGCCACAGCTCCACATCCCCGCTGGTGTTCACCATGGTGCTCAACAGGACATGGGGGCTGAAGCAAATCCCCATCCAGCTCTTGAACCATGTTGTATCGGCCATATCCCAGACAGACTGGACATGGAGCAGGGCTGCCTAGTGGTTCCTGATGCCTCTGCCCAGGCGGGTCACCCCACAGGGGTTGCCACCTCCTAGCCCGCTTGGAGACAGGCAGCGGATGCCCTGCAGACATCCTGCCAGGGCTCTGCATTTAGATACAGGATTAATATTTACCAGCTGGTTTTCCCCCTTGTCCAACGGGAGAAGCCTGAGCACAAAAAAATTTATTTCATTAGGGGTTCTTTTGTTTTGGTCTGTCTTTTTAACCTTGTTTGTAGAGGTCACTCTCTGTTTACAGTAGAGAAAGCAAGGGCAAAATGTGCATCTGCTTTAGGAACACAAATTGGTGGGCTTCACAACACCAATCTTGCAGCCTTGGCTGGTCTAAAACAAGCTCTGCTGCCTCCTTAGATGGATTTATCCTTAATATGGCGAGCGCAGTTGTGACAGGAAAGCAGACTTCTTGCCCTGAGGCTTGCCCTGCTCTGCTGGACATCTCTGTGCTGGCTCTCAGGCTGTCTAGGAGATCATCCCGAACCATCGTGCCCCATTCAGCTCTCCATGGGAACACGCTGCTGATAGCTGCCTTCGCTTCCTCTGAAGGGCTTAGCCTCCAGCTAAATTGGAGGTGAAGCAGGTGTTGAGGAGGGTGAAGAGAGTTAAGTTGAAAGCGGGGAGGTTTAGATTACATATCAGGAAGAAGTTCTTCCCAGAGAGGGTGGTGAGGCACTGGAACAGGTTGCCCAGAGAAGCTGTGGATGCCCCATCCCTGGAAGTGTTCAAGGCCAGGCAGGACCAGGCTTTGAGCAACCTGGTCTAGTGGAAGGTGCCCCTGCCCATGGCAGGGGGGTTGGAACTAGAGGGGCTTTAAGGTCCCTTCCAAACCAAACCATTCTGTGATTCTATGATTCTAAGTCTGGTGGAATGGGATGAGTAGCAGGCGCACGGGGCAGCTGTCCTGCTTAGCCAGAACATCCTTCCTGGAGAGGCTCAACCCATTAACCTCACCAGTTGTTCTGGCCTTCTTCTGCTGATTTGTAGGTGAGAGAGCAGCATCCCATCCAGCGAAAGCACACTGTGTAGCCAAATGTATAATGCTTAGGGATTAAAGTTCGCTTGTCTGTCCACAAGCCTTTCTCCTTTGGAAGCAATTTACCCGGTGTGTTCCCTCAGCTCAGGTGCATAAACACATCCTTTGCTTTTCCCCGCTTCTCTTCTGCATCCGTTTTTCTGCCTGGTGAAGTTTGCACATCCCACCAGCTCTAGCATCCGTAACATGTTTTAGAGCAATTTCAGCATTGCTTTCCCAGGCCAGACTCTTACTGGAGGAAATCCCATAGGAAGAGGTGCCTTTATGCACTGTGATGTCTAGAGAGCTTAGCAATGCAATAGATACAGGGTGCCAGGAGTGCCTTGTTTTGGTTAATTAAAGTAGATGGGGTTTAGCTGCCAAAATGCAAGTTTTGTTCTTTTTCAGTTCTTCGCATAATTACCTAACTGTGGAGATCCACAAGGAAATAAGGGGGGAAGAGTTATTTAGCCAAAGGGAGTCGATAGCTGCAACTGATTAATAATAAGTCATCTTCTTACTAGGTACTTGATTTTCATGTATTGCCTGCAAGGATGTTAGAAATACGGAACAAAGGTTCATTTCATGGGATCTAACTGTTTAAAACTGGAGTAAGTGTTTGAAGATATGTCCCCCAGAAATCACAGTATGTACTAATGAGGCAATGCCAGATTTCAGCTTATTTCTAGAACAGACACATCATGGTTGCTCGCTGCTTGTCCCAGGTTTTCAGAGCAGCTCTCCCTGGGGGAAGCAGAGCAGGATACCTCACTCCCCTGTGCTCTCAACCGAGTTTCCTCGTGCAATTTACAGCTGGATTACATGGGAGCCAGTGGAAATCAAATCTTTATAAAATCACATTTAACTCATTACCTCATGTTTCAGTTGAGAATTTCGGGATCAAACAGTAACTCTGACCTTCAAGAGGTTTGTCAGTGCCTGACAACACATTGCTGTGGGCAGCAATAAGAGTAGTCAGTCATAAATAAGTGAATTTCATCAGGGTGGTGTGTAAATATAATTAAAACTTCAGAGAGCTCAAATAAACATCAAACTCTTGATGAGTTAGTTCAGCTGGATGTGGCAAGAGAAATTAGCCAAGCTGACGTTGCTATGCAGAATCAGAGATTTGCCTGCTGTTGACCCAAGGGTTTGTGGACTTGGCACAGGTCAGGCGGTGCGGTGCTCCGCACTGGGTTTCTGCTGGTGTGTGCTACGTAAGTGAAAGCACATGCTGCTGTGTGGGGGCTGAGAGGTCAGCAAGACCCCTTTTTAATGTTAGCCTGGTTTTATACACTCTGTCTTCCACTGGGGTGTTCTTAGAAGTGATGATCAGTGTGGGTGTCACTCAGAGCCTCTGTTCAGGGCAAGGGTCCACCGGAGAACTGCTTTTTTTTGAAGCCAAGTGTACTATATAGTGATCTGCTCTGAGAAAGGAAAGGGTATGTCATGGGTGTGTGATACGTGTGCCCTGATCTTCATGGCTTAAATGAGCTGGGACCCTCTCCTGGTGTTTCAGAGTAACTTCTCTTCATCTCACCATTTTTACTTCTGTTTTCCCCATTCCTGATGTAGGCCATTGGACGCCCACACATGCCTGCCTACTGGTCTCTGGGATTCCATCTCTCCCGGTGGGGTTATGGCAGCATTGATGTTGTAAAGAAAACCGTTGATCGCATGCACCACTATCATATCCCATACGTAAGTATGAATTTTTCACTGTGTATGCTGATTTAACAATCCAAAGTGAGATGAATAAAATTATAGTAGAGGAAAAGTGATTATCCTGTGAAGAGAATTGTAGAATAAAAGGATGTTCATAATTCTATGTAGCGGTTTTGCATGTAATACCTTTATTATGCTTAAAAGAACATTTAAAGCAGGCTTTGAACATGAGGTGTAAGTGATGCTCTTGGCTGCATAGCAGGCAACTCTGGTGTGGATTTACTCAGCATTTTTAAAAATAAATTATGGTACTTCTGATGCATATGACTGCCAAACAGTTGCTAAACTATGACTTCTACGTTTCCATTTTGTCCACTGCTACCATTTAAGATTATAGGAACTGAATTTGGCCTGACGATTATTTACAATTATTGCAGTCAATCTCTTAGGTTTCATTTCATAAGCTAGTTACATTTAGAAATATAGTTGCATACATTCTAATTTTCTGTATCAAATACTTCAATTATAGAATGATAGAATAGATCGGCTTGGAAGGGACTTTCAAAGATCATCTAGTCCAGCCTACCCTTCAATGCACAGGGACATATTCAACTAGATCAGGTTGCTTAGAGCCCTGTCCAATCTGGCCTTGAATGTTTCCAGGGATGGGGCCTCTACCACCACTCTGGGCAACATATTCCAGTATTTCACCACCCTCTCCGTAAAGAATTTCTTCCTTATACCTAGCCTGAATCTCCCCGCCTTCAATTTAAACCCATTACCCTTTGTCCTACAGGCCCTTGTAAAAAGTCCCTCCCCAACTTCCTTGTAGCCCCCTTCAGATACTGGAAGGCTGCAATAAGGTCTCCCCGGAGCCTTCTCTTCTCCAGGCTGAACAAGCCCAACTCTCTCAGCCTGTCCCCATAGGAGAGGTGCTCCAGCCCTCGGAGCATCTTCGTGGTGCTCTTCTAGACTCCCTCCAACAGATTCACATCTTTCTTATGTTGGGACCCCAAGAGCTGGATGCAATACTCATGTAATGTTTGTTTAAAAAATGTTTAGGATGTCCAACATTTTGATATCGACTACATGGAACGTCGCCTGGACTTCACCTATGATAAAGTGAATTATGCAGGTCTGCCAGAGTACCTCCAAAAACTGAAGAAGGAAGGAATGCACAATGTCGTGATTCTGGTAAATTAACAGTGTTGCTAATTATTTCTCCATTTAAAAGAACTGTTTGCAGCGTAGTATTCATAGCAGTATCTAAGTGCTAACACATGCTATTGTAGCAGTTTTCCATTTTTGTCATTTGTTGAGAAGAGCTGAAGAACAATTTCTCACATATTTTATGTTTAAATGTGTTACATTTATCAGATATCTGTGCCAGCACCATTTCTACACCATAACATTAATTGTCTTTCACTTTTTCTCACTCAGTTATGAGACATTTTGCCTCTGTTCAGTGCTGAGTTGAGATAGGATCACTTTCATGCAATTCTTTTTCTGAAAACAAACAAATGGGTTTAATATCCACACAAATATAGCTGAATATTGGAAAAAAATCTATTCATAATCACACTGGAAAGCTAGTAACTGTAATTCAGTTGGCTTATATTTACTTTTTACCTAAATTAATGTAAGAGACATTTGTTTGCATGAAAAACTGTGGAAAATGTATGTTGAACCTGTAACCAAGATTGATGTATGACCAAACCAATTAATTTGGTCAGAAGTGAAATTCAGAGTTTTTCATCTTCCCTCATCAATTTTTACAACAAAAAGTTTGCTGTTTCTCACCAGCAAGTCCCCATACATGTCCTTGTGCCAAAATTACTCTTTGCTATGACAGCTCAGTCCTAATGGTGGCAAGGAAATTGGAGACCAATTAAATTGAAATTTAAATTTAAAAAAAGAATAAATTAAGATATTAAAATAAAATCCTTGATATATGCATACGACTTTGCTCTCCAGGACCTCCCAGCGGTGCAGTACTAGGAGGGCTAAACTCCCCAGAGCCGGCTGGGGCAGTGACACCTCTAGGCCTTTTGCTTTCTTTGTTAATATACTTATTCAAACAAGCAAATTCTCCTTCAGTCTTTTTTGCAAGCTAAACAAACTGAAGTATTTTATTCCCTTTTTATTGGGTGAGGTCCTCAGGTGAGCTATGTTATCTTCTTGTGAGTTTAATTTCAACAAAATTTTTAAAGCCCATTCGGTTTCTCAGATAGTTCATGTTAGAGTAGTACAAGAGTTGTTGCTAGATGAATTAAATTCAGCTGCTAGGCAGAATATATAGGAAGGAATATATATATACAATGAATATAACAACAAATCTTAATTCATGCAATAAGCTAATGCAAATCCATATAGGAATCTCTTCCTTTCTTCTTCCACTAACTTGGAACTTAGGACCTTCTTCTGCTCTGGTTCTTTGAATAAGCTTGTGAAAAAGAACAAAAGCTGCTCCAGTTTGTCCTTCATTTTTGAAAAGATGATAGGAAGTATAGGTTGCACTGGTAGTGAAGCTTTCTGTTTTCACTTTAATACAGTTGCTGATATTTCTGTCAAATTCTGACTGTTAGCATTCTTTAGTGATGTGAAGCATCCCCTTAAGTTGGGTCAGGAGCTGGAACAGTATGAAGGGTTTCATTCCCAAGTGACAGCAAAGCCACGCTAACCGCAATCGAGGCAAGTGTAATCCAGTTTGATAACGAAAGAACAATTTTCTATTTAGATTCCCTCTGGGTAGTGACAATAATGAGTGAGTTCCCCAAGCTGCATCCCTCATGATGATTTCAGGAAATGTGTTCTGATTGCAGTCACTTAGTGTCATGTAAAACCTCTAGTAAATGGATTTGGGGGAGCTGGATTCAGTCTTTCACATCTCAGACCTCTATGGTCACAAGCAAAGTGCAGATCCTGAGGGCCAGCAGTATTAACACTGGTAACCTGCCTGAGAATGGGATGCTGAATTTGGTTGAGCCACTGCTGCTGAGGTGGTCGGTCCCTCACCATCAGGAAATCCAGTCCCCACGCTTGTATCCAGTGCTGAGAACTTTCTGTACCCATGGTCACCTCGATTACAGCATGGCCCTGTTACCACAGTCCCTAAATGCAGTCCTTCAGCACTTCTTTCTCCTGATCCCTTTCAGAGCCACCTCCATTTAAGAGAAATTTTGTCTAAGAGTGTCAGTACTTGGTCGTCATTATTGCACTGCATAATTTACATGTTTCAACTGAGTCAGAACAAATACATTCTTTAGAAACAAAGAAAGAAGTTCTAAATGTAACGATGACTACAGTGTGCAATGATAAACATCATTACTGAAGAGGAGCTTTAATGAAAGACCTTGCATACCTTCCATTAAATCACACTAAAAATAGAAACAGCTGGGAATGACATGAGTGACAAATTACTTAATAGCAACATGCTAATGATTCAAAATAATCCTTGATAGCTTTATAATTTTAAAGTCCAGATCTAGAAGCTGTAGAGGCTAAAATTTCCAGAGGTGAGTTTTTATGGATGTCTGTCAAAATCTATGTTTGGGGCCATAGGTGGAAGTGCTTCAGTCCAGATAAGTGCTGGGTGCTCCCATAACCCATGACAGACAGTTGAAGTTAAGGATGCTCAGCACCTCCTCTCCAAGAGCTGCTAAAAAAAAGAGTTAGGGAAGGCCTACCAGACATGAACTTCCCCCATGACAAACTCTCTTTAGGACAATACTAAACCTGCATAATATATTAGATTTATGCACTAGAATAACCTTTCAGCTGAAGGAAACCAGAAGTTTGGATTTGGTAGCTAATTAATCTGACTTCTTCCAGCCTTCAATTCCCTTGAGAGACATCTTTTCCACAATTATAAGACAGGTCTTGCAGATGGACAGTTTTTTTCAAAGCTGAACTATTAAACAAGTTAATAATATAATGGACACTTATACTCTTTATGGAGGTGATGCGGCAGCTAGATAGTTGAAGTTGAATGGAATTTTGCATTTAAGGTAGGGATTTAGCAGAGGCTTTTGTTTGTGATGCATGGAAGAATATACTTTCCTCAACAGGGCTGTAGCTGTAAGAGGGCTTACAAATAAATCAGGCAAGTAATTTAGATATTAAAATGAGCTTTAAAACATGACTTTAAGGTAATTTACCGTTTGTGATCAGATATATTTTGTTCTTAAGAAGTTTATTAGTTAGACTTCTATTATCTTTTAATTAAGTTAACTTAAATTTTTGCACAAACTGTAAGTGAGGGAAAGAATTGGTAAAGTGGCATTTTTCTCCATTATGTTTCATAGCTGAAAGTTTTTTGCCTTAAGCAGAACCTGAGGGAATAACGTCTTCTAAGAGAAAAGTATAGAATTCCCTTCTAAAATGGCTGCAATCTTCCTCTGTTCTAAATAACACAAAGCAGACAGCTGCTCCCAATTAGGGACATATTGCAAAGTGCACTTATCTCCTTTTAGTCCCAGCTGACTGCTGAGCAGAGCTGAATAGTACCTCTTCATTCACTGGCATCTCAAAGTAGTCCTAACTTCATTATGGGACGTGATCTTCCCGGGAGCAGTTTAGGCCCCATTTTGATGAGCTTGGTGGCTACTGATGGCCATCCTTGGGCAGAGAATCTGGTGGCGTCAATGTCACTGGCTCCAATGCAAGGTAGTGACCACCCCAAGCAGTCAGAGGGGCAGCTGTGGGGTGTAAGACACTGTGGGCTTCGTGCCTGGGGAGAACAAAGATGTTTAGCCCTGCAGGCATGCACAAACTGGGTTACTCTACACCAGACTAGCATAAACCACTCTTGTCTGACACTGGATCTGAAGGGAGGGCTAATGAGGTCCATCTGAGGTTGGATGTGTCCCAGCTTCAAGCCCCTTGAGGAGTTTCAGTTATTCCAGCACTCAGCTGCTGATGCTGAGGCAGCTGGAATGAGGATTGCCTTGGACGATACCCGGAGGCGTCCAGTTGTGGGAATGCCCAGTGTGACACCCCACTCTGCCAAGCAGAGACCTCAGCATGGAAAGTAAAATCCAGTGCCTTTCTAAAGTCATTTGAACATAGAATGTCTCATAAAAAATAAACATGAGGGTATTTAATAATTTCACATCACTTTTGCCTTATACAAGAAATACTCATGGCATATCTTTAATGACTTTTCCTAAATTATTATGTGCTCTGATCTCTTATTGAATTTTAATTCTGTTTTCTTCCAATATAATTGCAATCTGCATTAAGAACATAATCCAAATTTTTCTAAAATATACAAATGTAAAAGTAATTGTTACCTTTGGGATTTTGATAATGGAAGTGTAATCACTGTTTTCAGGACCCTTTCATAACCAAGGATGAAAAGCCAGGCACTTACAGGCCTTATGATCTCGGGGAGGAAATGGGAGTCTGGGTGAACAATTCTGATGGCATAACTCCTGCTGTTGGAAAGGTTGGTTTATTAAATTCTCTCATGCATTTGGTCTAGCGTTGCTTCAAAGTGATAAAGCAGCTGTAATGGAAAGGAGAAGATAACCAGTCATTATGTCTGTGAACTTTAGGCCTGGCCCCCCGGAGAATCAGTGTTTCCTGACTACACCAACCCCAGGACAGTTGAGTGGTGGACCCAGATGTGTCTGGAATTCAAGGATGTCCTTGACTACGATGGGATCTGGATTGTATGTCTCACTATATTTGCTCTCCCTTCTTTTAAAAAGAGAAAACTAGGCTTTTGACATGTGTCTTACCCTCTTTATTAAAGGATATGAATGAACCATCCAATTTCTTAAATGGCCAGTTTCCTGGATGTGCTGTTAATGATATCAATAACCCTCCCTACATTCCCAGTAAGTAAAGTTTCTTTGACAATCTTTTTTTTCTTTTTTTCTTCTTAATCTTGGATAGGCTATTTCTTAGAAAAAAATTCCATCCTCTCATTTTCTATCTTTCCATGATTGTTCTGTACGTTCAGTTACATATTTGTTCAGGACTCCGTTGGCTCAGCTTTGGTGGAGTATCAAACATAACCCACTTTGTCACTGAGGCTGCCTTGTAACAGGACTAGAAAAATGGCAGGCCTTTCTTGCCATGCCCTGAGCAACAGGTCTGCATTAGAGAAAGGGTGAGGTACCTGTACACTGTAACTCAGCTACAGATATATGGAAGGAGCAACCCTTTTGCCTTACCATCACCACTGCTAGTCCCAGGAATGGGTGGTCTCTGCCTTTTCCACAAACCATGACAAGGAAGATAGCATCTCCCTAATGACATAACTCATTATCTTCTCTTTCTCTTAGGAAAGAAATTTTCATTGCCTTAGAAATGGGTTAAAAATAAGTTTAAAAATGCTCAAGCCTATGGGAGACTGATAGGAATGGGAACACCTCTTCCAGTAGCCAAGTTAATGACATGCTCATTCTCCCCCAGGAAGCCATAAGTACTTACAATTAGTGCCAGTGGTCCTGGCAATTAATCCAGCCAACATTTCTCCAGGAAAGCCCTGCTGCCTGAGCAATGCTAATATGCAGCAGGAAATATACACAAATGAGTTATTGACAGTGAGTTATTGGAAATGTCCCTTTTCCCTTCAGGCTGTTGTACTGTCATGCAAATTCTTGGTTTTATTTATTACATCTCATTTCTTTTCTCTCCAAATACAAGATAAACATAAACATTGCAAAAGCATGACAAAATATTATAAAAATATTGTAAATTATAGAAACCAGAAGCAGAGCTTTTAATTGTGATTTTGGTGTTTGCTCTCTTTGTGGGGAAACTGCTAATTGTAACTTGTGTACTGGTGCTGTGGGTCCTGTCATTGACCAAAGCCCAGGAACTGATGAGACATTTCCACCTTTGCCTTATGTTACCTCCATTTTTGTCACCATTCAGAGCTGCAAAAAAAGGCGTGAGCTTTTGGGGAAGATGGCCAAAGTAGCAAAGCTCCCTTCACCTTCACAAATAAAGAAGTGAGGGGTAGACCCATAAAGAGCTGTGAAGCTGAGCTTTGTGATGCCTAGGACTGAAGTCTGAGCTACTATGGGACAATCAGACTTGGGGACCTATATAGATAGGTGACATGTAGGGACAGCAAGGGAGGCTGAAGGCAAGTGTCTTTTCATAGAATCACAGAATGGTTTGGGTTGGGAGGGACCTTAAAGATCATCCAGTTCCAACCCCCCTGCCATGGGCAGGGACACCTTCCACTAGACCAGGTTGCTCAAAGCCTCCTCCAGCCTGGCCTTGAACACTTCCAGGGATGGGGCATCCACAGCTTCTCTGGGCAACCTGTTCCAGTGCTTCACCACCCTCTCAGGGAAGAACTTCTTCCTGATATCTCATCTAAACCTCCCCACTTTCAATTTAAACCCGTTACCCCTTGTCCTGTCACTACAGGCCCTTGTAAAAAGTCCCCCCCCAGCTTCCTTGTAGGCTTTTGAGTCCAGTTTCTCTGTCTGACTTGTCCCTTCTCAGGCAAGGATGCACCTACTTCTGCTTGTGACTCATGGTGTTGGTGTTGCTGCTGCAGACAGGAGCCCAAGGCATTTCTTCCAAAATGTAGGCGAGCTGTTTTCAACCTGTGCTTCAGGACCTTCTTTTATATTCCACATTATGCCGACACTGCACATAGCCTTGGCTGTCCAAGCCCCTGACTGGTGGAGGCATGACCTAAGCTGCTTAGTCCAACAAGACATTAGGACCTTCCTAGGGCTGGCAGGGTTTTAGGGACTCAAGCTTTCTTGAGTGCCCCAATCTGTGCAAGTCCCAGTATCAGTGCCTCAGGCTTCTTGTCAGTGTAGCCTTCAGCCTGCTTATATAAATTATAACCACAATTACATGTGACTGTGGTTTGAACTTCTAAGTCCTTCAAATCAATTTTCTATAAAACACTTTATACTGAAGATAAATATCCAGTTGTAAAATAATCAGTATTACTGAGGCAGAATGCAAAATATTCAGAATAAGAATGAAGCATGAAAATATGACTCATGTGGCAGCGGTTTCTTTCATATCCCACCTTAATTTTAAGGGGCTAATAATTAAGTGCCACGGGGATGTAAAGTGTGACTTTCTCCAGAACATTAGTATCTTCTTCAAAGCAGTATCAGTCAAAGGTACTAGGAAATTGTCTATAAACTAAGTTATTTCTGATGCAGGTCAGCCACACTGGAGTCTTTGTGTCTAAAGACCAAAAAACAAGGATTCCAGCTGTGGTGGCACAGCAGAACAGAGAGGCTAATGGGGTTTCAGGTACAGAGAAATTCACTTTGTAGTAATGAACAGCAACCATAGAGTGAAGTGCAATTAGGCAGCAAGATTGCTTGCTCATGGAGAAATATTTACAATAGTGTGTGCACCTAATTAAGCATGCAAGAAAAGAATATTTGAGAATCTATCTTCTTTTTTTTTCAGAGAGAGGATTTTATAACATTTTCAACTCCATCTCTAAAAATAAATACATTGTATAAACCAAACATCTGACCTGCTCAATTCCTTATGAACTTCACATAGCATTTTCATGGAGGTTACCTGCAGAGGATGAGAATCACATTTTCTGCACCAAATGGGTTTTGCTAGCATCTCCTTAATATGGGATCAGAGGCCAGGGAGCATCTGTGCAGCCAATTTGTGCTTCATATTGCTTTCCCTTGGCTCACCTAAACTGGTTCTGGGCCAGCAGCATCAGGGCTACTCCCAGCTATCACTGAAGGCAAAAAGCTACTGCTGCCTCCACTGCCTGTGACCTGCTGATGGAGGAAGTTCTGGATAATCCGTCCGCATGCAAATATACCCATTATAATCACAGGCTGAGGTCTCGTGATTTCACACAACCATGCAAGTTCCCTGGGCATCTGATTTTGTGTTGTGTTTCTTTTCTTGCAGCATCTTTGGTATTAAGTAAAATTTGTCACTATATAAAAGAATATGTAAGTATATTCTTAATTCAGCAATGCAGAAATTTTCTTTCTGGCTATGACTTACTGAACATATGATATCTGTGCAGATGTTTTGAATTAATGGACATAAAACTTGAAATTAATTAGCAGTGTTTACTCAGTCCTCTCATCTTCCTGAGGACACCTGTGCCTGTCTGCAAGCAGGTATTCATGGCTATATGCTAACCTCTAATCAGTGCAGGTCTGGCACTTCTTCAGCTTTTCCTCTTCCCAAATTCTCCCGAATGGGTAGAAATATGAATAGATTTGAACTGTGATGTATATAATTTTACAATGTTTTGTATCGTTATCAGGCATTTCTGATCGCTCTCTGGCGCAGAAGACGTTGTGTCCTGACTCCAAGACTTACCTGGGAGAGCACTATAACACTCACTCTCTCTTTGGCTGGTCACAGACAGTGCCAACATTCCAGTAAGTTTTCTAAATCTTTCTAAGCAGATTTCAGCTGATTGAAATGCTTTTAAAAAGCCACTTATGTTACCTGGGAAATCTGTAGTAGTAACTAACAAGAAACCACAGCCCCGTGCTTCATTTTACTGTTTGTCATTTAGTAAGAAGTTTTGAGAGAAGAGAGTCTTGGAAGAAGTAGAATCTTTTCCGATTTTACTTTTCTTAGCTAAAATCAGGATCTACTCATAGGGCTTAACTCTGCAGCTGCTGCTTTTGTATAAACAGAGCAAGCTGTTCCTATCCTCCATTAGAGATGCTCAGATGCAGCTGCTGCAGAAGCAGCCTTGTGTGGTGCCAGAGGAATTATTCCATCCGTTCCTTACCGCGGCCCAAGCAGAGGGGTTTCTATCACTGCTGGAGAAGGACCCAAAACATACAGCTCCCCCGGCTGCTTCTGGAGTTGCCCCCAGTTCTTGGCAGGCAGCGTTTTGCATTTTGGCTTGGGCTCACTTGGTCCAGGAGGGCAGAGCTGCATTGCAGCACAGTTGCTGTCAGCTACTGTAAAACTCATTTTGCAGCTGGAAAACATTCAAAACTGGATTACACAGGCAGACTGTTGCTGTGAAGCTGGAGTGACAGTGGAGAGCTAGCTGTTGGATTAAATCAAATGGGCAAATCATGCCTTTTCCAGCAGAGATTGAGCTAAAACATGGATGTTTAATACTGCAATGTAAGTTCCAAAGCAGGGATCCTGGTGGTGGCTGATTTCAGTATCTAGCACTCATTTTCAGCAGTTGTATTGTGATAGCATCCAGAGGACATGGCTAAGTGAGCCTACTTACGGTGTTAATGCACTTGTATTGTATATGCCAAGCCTGGGGGAAGGGAAGAACAGGTAAGAGGCAGAAACCGTTTGCCAGCTCTTGTGGGCCTGGCTGAAGAGCAGCCCTGATTTCGATAGAAGGAGCAGGAAGCCCTCAAGGGCTTCAAACCCTGCAGGGTGCAGGGTTCAAACCCTGCACCTGGCTGGCCAACCAGCCCAGCTAGGACACAGGGTGTAGCATGGGTTTTGGGCCCCTACATCCCAATCTCAGCAAAGATCCTCCCATCACTGGTGTCTCCACTGGGATTTGTCCTCAGCATGCTGGCGTCCACAAGAACACATAACCATACAATGTCTTGGTAATGTCTTGAGCTGGGTCTGTTTAGCTTGGAGAAAAGGAGGCTGAGGGGGGATCTTGTCAATGCTTATCAATATCTAAATGGTGGGTGTCAGGAGGATGGGGCCAGGCTCTTCTCAGTGGTGTCCAGTGACAGGACTAGGGGCCATGGCCATCAACTGGAAAACAGAAAGTTCAACCTGACCATAAGGAAACCCTTCTTCCCTGTGAGGGTGACAGAGCTCTGGAACAGGCTGCCCAGAGAGGTGGTGGAGTCTCCTTCCCTGGACACTTTCAAAAGCCGCCTGGACTTGTTCCTGTGGGATCTACTCGAGGTGATCCTGCTCTGGCAGGGAGTTGGACTAGATGATCTCTAGAGGTCCACTCTGTGACTCTGTGAACCTTCCCTGTCCCTGTAGCCCTTGCTTCCAGGGCTCCTTCCAAAAGAAATACATATTTTGCTCAGCCAAACATACAGTCCTTCAAGGCTGGAGAACACCACCAAAAGCAGAAGCAGGATTTGCTGCAGAGCTGGGAAAGAATTTGGTGAAGAGATTTTCATGCATTTTTCATTTGGCTTTCTCAAACACATTTCAAGGCTGGTTGTATACCCTTTCTGCATTTGCTCTTCACAATAATATACTAAATTAAATTACTGACAGGAATATTTAGCAAACCAGCATCAATTGCAGGATATTGGCTGAAAAAATGACAAGTTCATAATTGTATAAAAAGCAATTCTAAGATTTATTCTAACACAGACAGAGAATAGGAAATGTGCCATCTGACCCATGTCAAATGGCTTGAATTTGGATAGATGAACTAGCAACAATCAGCTTGTGTATAGCTTAACACCAAGAATTATTTGCCTATGGTATTTTGTAAATAATTTCAGTCAACAAATACATTTGGCCCTGTATGGCAATGATTCACAATAGACTGAAATTTATTCAATAAATTTCTTGTTGTAAATCGTTTATGCAGCTGTAGGTCATAGTTGGGTTGATCCAATGTTGCTCTCATTAACACCTGCATTTGCAAATGGAGCTAAAGACTTGTGCTGCACAACCAGAGGAAAGGACTCATACTCAGGATATCGATTAAATGGTTTCAAAATGCCACTTATATGAAACACACGAATTCTTGTGCAGTTTTTGGGCCCAGCAGTGCACCTACAACACAGAACCAGCAGATCCTGCATGGTTCAAGAATTGCACCTCTTGCTACATATGGCACATAAGGTTAATATGTTTAAATTTGCATGAAAGCTGTCGGGTTTTTTGCTTTGGAAACAAATGTTGAAGCATTTCAAAGGCTCTGTGCCGTAACAACCAATACCAAACATTGGCCATTACAAATACAGGTGAAAGAGCCCTTGATCAAATCTCATTAAGGAAAGAGATAAGGAGGTAGATGGTGAACAACGTGATTAATATTTCATGCTAGGATTTCCCAGAGAAGGTAAGCTATGTTGCCCAAATCATATTAAAGCAGAGTTGAATCTGAGTTCCTGCAATATATAATATTGCAATATGTAATTACATACAGAGATTATCCTATGTTGAGGAATTTTGTAACAGATTTGTTAATAAGGCATATTGCACTTACTTGATTTTTTGGTGATGCAGCAAAATTATTTTCAAAAGGCAAGGAAAAATTCATTACATTACTAATTGCTTAATGAAATCTCATATATCAAACAATGACAGGAAATCAGAGGAAATACTACAAGGATAGGGTGACATTTTGAATGATTACATTTTTGTTTCTATATTGATTATTTACTTTTTTTTTAAGATGTTCAGCTATTGTTTTGAAGTTTTTGTTTGGTGTGGTGGTTTTTGGGTTTGGGTATTTTTTTGTTTTGTTTGTTTGTTTTTTTTTTACTTTTAGTTTCAGGATATTAAAACATGATTTACGAATGTAAATCTCTAAATAAATCCTATATTGAAAAAAATGTGTTACACTTTTTCAGGAACCTGTAGGACACCAAATTAAATGTACTAATAAAGAAAGGAAATTATGGTTGAATTTTTCAGTTTGAGACACTGTGGAGAATAAATTAAAAACAAATTATGTTTTAGGTAGACTAAAAATACCTGAAACAAATTGTTTTGTGAATCAGAGAGATTTTAATTTTTGCGGACATAGTTTCATGTGACTTGGACCACAATAATAATTGTTTCATGAATAACACCCCTTCAGATAAAATTATGCCAGAAAGCTCAGGATGATAATACAACTCTTTCGGTTACCATTCTTACTTTTAATGATCCTGTTACATTCCTTTGCAGTGCTGCCCAGCAGGCAACTGGAAAACGAGCATTTGTCTTGAGTCGGTCTACATTCATTGGCAGTGGGAAACATGGGGGTCACTGGCTGGGTGACAACTTCTCTCGGTGGAAGGACATGCACCAGTCAATCATTGGAATCCTGGAATTCAACCTCTTTGGCATCCCCTACGTAAGTCTAGTGTCCTTCAGGCAGTTGCTGGCTGATACACAATATCACTTTAAATTAACTCAAATGTTTTGTGAAATAAGCTGCTTGAGATGGCCAGCAGTAACGGCCTGCACAGCATAAGGAACTGGAGATTAAAAAAAGCTAAATGTCATCAATCTTGGCTGGCTGAAGAGAAACAAAAATAGCACTGCTATATTCAGATTAAATCACTGCATGCCATCCAAAACCGATCTCTCTGTATTACATATTCTATCATTGAGGTCCCTCCATGTATTTCTGGTTTTGCAAGCTGGGCTGAAGAATTTGTAGAATTACTGAAATATGGTCAGATCTCCTACAGTGATGTTAATGCTCTAGGAGCCAGTACAATCTCGGTCCCAGAAAAATTCATATCATTATGGAGCATCCTAATAAAATCATCAGAAATAGGTATCTCTTTCTGAAAATTATTTTTATTGACAAACATCCATGGTTTCTCATTTCTGGGCCTCAGTCACAATCAAAACCACTTATCCAATGATTTTTTTTTTCTTTAGATTGGTGCTGATATCTGTGGGTTTAACTATAACACTACCTACGAACTCTGCTTGCGTTGGATGCAGCTTGGCTCTTTCTATCCATTTGCCAGAAACCACAATGCAGAGGGAAATAGCGTAAGTGAATGAACTGTAATTTGTAACAACGATGGTGATTTGTATTACTTTCTCAGGAATTAACCTGCCATTCTTGGGTAAAATGGAGTGGCGGGTGAAAAGGAGTGCTGCACTGAGGGCAGGAATTACACGGTGAAGTGTAAATTTTTCCCATCTATAATGTGAAGATGACATAGAAATGCTGGAAAAATATGTAATATCTAACATCTGAAAGCCATGCAGAAACATGTACCACGTACTTTGCATGACAGAAAATGGTCTTCCCACGCTGTTGGCACGATTCATCCCCTCCATCTTTTACTTACTGAAGCCAGATTTTATTTAAGAGCCAGTGAATGTCAGCACATCTTCCTATTCCCTTGTTTACTTCAATTTTTGTTTCACTACTTCTGTAAATATAATGACTACTGCAGGAAGAGGAGAGAGGGCATTATACACTGTCATTGCTGTTTAAAAGCAAGTTTCAGACAAATGCCACAGTTAGCAACTCCAGACAAACATGTGAGAACTCCAAGGAGAGCCAGAAATAGTGACAGCATTATCAGCCAAGAAGCAACAAAGACTATAAAAACCCATGAGCCCTTGAGAAGGATGAAGTGCAGTCTCAGCCCAGTCTCATGCCCTGGCTTTGACTTACTCTAAAGTCCTTTCAAGACTTGTCTCAGATAGAAGCGTCAGGTTGTTTCTAACTATGAACAGCTTAAAGGCCTTGCAGCCTTTGTAAGTACAGTGTGTTTATCTGCAACTGCAATGAAATCGGTCTGCTAGTTCAATAAATGTCTTTTTTTTTTTTTCTTCTATAAACCGATCCGTGCAGTGATGGAGCTCAGGTTATTAGCTAACATTCAGTTTTCTTTGAAGTTTGGTCATCACAATGTTGTAACATTCACACCTCCCAAAAAACCTCTGTCTCTGCATGATGAAGGACTTTCAGCAACTGGGCAAATGCAGGAATAATAAGTTATAGGGCTGTCATTAAGAGGGTCAAGGATTACCCTGTAGATCCCTGAGGTATGCTGAAATATTTCTCTCTAGCAGAACAAATGTCTGTGAGGCGTTAGCTGCTGCTGTTGATAAATATTTTCTATTTACCTCACCACTAAAATTAGAAGTATCCTATCTATATGTGTTTGCTTGGCCCTTTGGGCATGCACAGGGGGTCTGACCTGGGTGAGTAAGTGTTAATCACATATGAAAAATTTAATAAGCATCGAAAGAGCAACAGGTCTATGTGACAGGAGCTAAAACTCAGTGTTGAGTGAATGACAGAAGTAACAGAAGACATATTGTGTTTTATGGCATTACTTAAATCCATTTAAGTCATTGTGTTCACTGAAAGAAATGAACAAAGCATTTTGGGTGACTCAGCATCACCTAAGACAACTGTTTTTTTGTGAACTTAGGCAATATTTGTACAGTGTCAGAATACTGGTAAAAATACAATGCAATTTTTGAAATAATAGATGGATGCTCCAGAGCTCGGAGCCAGCAGGGAATATTATCAATGACTAATTCTGATGTAAACATAATAATGGAGAAATTTAACTTGAATATTGAGTTTAATTAATATTAAGTTAGTGTTAAAATAAAATCTTAAGTATCCACTTTGCCTATTCCATTGGGGAATTCAAATGGTTTAATTAATACTTTTCTTGTCTGAAAAGCACTAGATAATATAAAAAGCTTTGTTACTTCTGTTCCTCTTATGTTTCATTATCCTTGGAATTCATCATACATTCTTCAGTTTTAATGAGAAAACTGAGTATTATGGGAAAATGTTGTGAAGGAGGAAGGGAGCCGTGTGACCTGTTAGCTGGCTCAGTTTAGCACTGGAGAAGGTCGAACAGGAGGAACTAAAGGAGAGGTAACTACAGCACTACCCCGGGTTGTGTGCTCCACAGCCCATCGCAGGGGATAGTCACGATCATCTTGTAGATCAGAAGCAGCCGACGAGTGTAGAGAGATTGCTTAATCCTGCCCTCTTGGTGGTGGGTACCAGTACGCGTGCCCGCTCTCCCGGGAGAGCATCGCTGGCGGCGAGGAGCACGGCTGCTGCGTCTCCTCAGTTGGTACAGCCTAAAAGGGTGGGAACAGGTGGAGAAATCGAGTTTCTGCCTATGGATGACATGTTTTCCCTGCCACACAGTGACTTCGGTCACTCTTGTTGGCTTCATCATGGCCATGCATTTACTCTTACTTTTAAATAAATCTACCTTTATGCCCTTGGCTAACATAATTATGCATTTGCATTTGTTTTGCAGATTATCAGTCTTCCCTTTTTCCTGTGTTTCACCTTCTCTGTCCCAGAGGGCTTACATCTCCAAGATAAATTAATTTCTAGAGACAAGGTGTCTGTTCCCGAGCACAGACCCCAGTTCCCCACCCGCTACGAGGTTAGGGGTGGTGACAGACAGCTCACATACACCACAGTGGGACCCGATGTCTCTGAACTTACTGGACTTCTTCAAACTGAAAGATTTTGTACAAATATGAGTCTGATGATAATGGATGTTGCTCTTAATACATCTCTCAGTTTGCAAATCAGTGTTTTTCCTTATTTAAACATTCACTTTCATAGCATTATGTCAGCCACTGGTCTCCTTAAGTTGCACACAGGCTCTCTACTGAATTTGCAGTCCCTGGTTATAACGCTCAGTATGAATCCAAGCTTTTCCGTAACAGGAACAAGACCCAGCGGTGTTTGGAGAAGAGTTTGCCAAGATATCTCGCGCTACGCTTAGGATCAGATACTCACTGCTGCCATACCTATACACCTTGTTCTTCGAGGCTCATGTTCATGGAAACACGGTGGTGCGGTCACTGATGCACGAGTGAGTTTGGAGTCTCTCTTTTTTATCATATTTTATCACAAAAGTAATTGAGCTTCTATGTATAGAGTAGTTGGTATCTGAGATCAGCCACAGTAATATTACTGCATGCTGTCTCTTAAAATGAACAGTTTTACAATGAAACCTAATCAAATTATATGCACAATAATAACTCAATATATGCAATGGATTTGCATCAAAATATAATCTGCATTTGGTTCCAGTGGAAAACACCCTAAGTAAGGAGAATTCTGAAAATTTCTTGTCTTAGACAAATATGTAATTCTTTTTTATTTTAAAAATAGGGATCACGTACCTGTATTTTCTATATTTGAATGAAATCGATGAAATCTGTATTCTGGTCCAGAATGCCAAGAAGGCCTCATACAGAGAAACCTCCATTTTCTAATCATCTACATCATTTGCATTTTCCAATTTAGCCCTTGCATCTGCGTGCTATGTATGAAACCTACATCTGTGTCCACAAATTGCATGGAGAAAACAGAGATGTTTGCATGTAGAAGCAGGTGCAAAACAGAGATTAATAAATACAGACTGAAAAATCCCATGGAAAATGTGACTTCAGATTTTTGGAACAACTAATTTTTTCTGTTTGGAAGAAGCAGGAATCAAAGTGAGGTTTAGTTTTCCTCTTCAGCATATTTTAATTAGCTTTTTACCTGCTTTTGGTAAATTTTCCACTTTGGAATGTTTTATACAAAGACTTGAGCAAAAAGAGTGCAAATAATACATATGAAAGGCTACTGCCCAAAGCTCTGACACAATTTAGCCTCATTGGTTCAGACTATGTCCTGGGCTGTTTAATGTTCTTTTTCCCTTTAGGTTTTTGAAAATTAAACTGAGATTACACTAAAGTGCAGACCATTCGAATATGGAAAGGATATGCAGAAAACCTCTTTTGCCTACTCAGCGTAATGTCTAACTGATTAATTTGAAAAGCAGTGTTCTTCCCCTTCCTATTCTGCTACCTTATTTAACTGTGTTACATTAAGGAGAAGCTTTATAGGCACTTGTGATGGGTTGACCCTGGCTGGAGGCCAGGTGCCCACCAAAGCCACTATGTCACTGCCCTCCTCAGCTGGGCAGGGGAGAGTAGATACAACAAACGGCTCGTGGGCCGAGATGAGGGCAGGGAGAGATCACTCAACAATTGCCATGCTGGGCAAAGGAGACTCAACTTGGGGGAACAAAAATTCAACCTGATTTGTTACCAATCAGATCAGACTAAGATAATGAGAGATGGAACCAGATCTTAAAACACCTTCCCCCCATCCCTCCCTGCAAAGTCCATCTCGGAGCTGGCTGGCATTGCCTCTATCAGACAAGGGAGAAGCTTCCAGCAGCATCTCATGGAAGCCACCTCTGTAGCCCTCCACTACCAAAACCTTGCCACACAAACACAATACAGTACTCGTATCTTGCAAGGGGCTATATGCTATTTCAAGTATTCATTTTAGCTGTATTTTTGCTTAATGAGGTTTTTGTTAATATTGGAAATGACTGACTTCATTCTGGAATTAATGTTAGCTAACCTCTGCTAATACAGAATTACTTTATTGTGTTAAAGCTGCCTTTCTGACCGTTCCTGGCATACTTTATTTGTATTCTATTTGGGCCACATCTACATTAGCAAATTTCCAAATTTGCTTTGATTTGAATTGTAGAGTAGTCCCAGATGTACCAGCAGAGACTTCCATCAGGTGAAACTGAGCCAAAAGGAGCACTCCAGCAATTAATGGGAATTTAGTTGGTTGTACCAGTACGGGATTGCTAGGAAATATAACCTCTAAAATCCATGTTGGGAGTGTAGGCATCAGATCAGCACAAACTGTTTCACTGCCCAGATCAAATCCTAGTGGGCACATCACTTGCTAATGTTGCCATACCTAGATCCTAAAATGACTTTAAAGTATTTCTTCCTATTATTAGTTAATTCTGGTTACTATTGTTACTTAATGCATATTTATTACTATTTCTAATTAATATTAGTTGGTTTAGTGGGTTTGCTCAAGTAGAGTAAGTGACCCAAATGCTAAGAGAAGAAATGTAGGTTTTAGAGAGAACTGGAACAGCATTTTGGATGTATGGATGGTGGGATTTTACATAAAACCTTTCCCTTGTAACAAATATAAAAGAGAACTAAAACAACTGCACTAGTTTTTCAGGTGGAGCTGTTATGAGTTCACAACCCTCACCATGAAAACACCTCTGCCTGGGCAGGGAGTCTCCAAGCAATAGCTATTTCGTGTGGTCACTTCAGATTTTTCATTTAGTTTCAAATGTTTAGGTGTTCGTTTCAAATAACAAACAAGAACAACATCCCAGTAGATTCCTATAAGCATCTTAGGTGCCTCTGAGGTTTTCACTCTGTGAAACAGAGGCACCAGTAGTTCAGCTGTCCAAAAAGACTGGGAGGTGGTAATCCATTACTGGAAGGGAAAGCTGTGCCTAATGGCTAAACAGAGGAAAAATAAGACAGAAGAGTGGCCAGCATCTAACCATAGGAAGCATGTAGATGGAATTAAGCACCTTTCATAGATCACAGAGATGGCTCAATAGCTTATATTTTCAAAATGGGAAAGTTCGTTTGTTTGCTGAATTTGTGCTCGAGATTGCTATAATTGCAAGACTAAATAGTGTGCTGAGTTAGATGGCGAGATGCTTGTTTCCACATGCAAGAAAGATTTTCTCTTTTGCCACAATTTCTTGATCAAGTCTTTCTCCTGCACTCTCCCACAACAAAGTATATTGAATCAGTATTATAATTTTATTACAACAAAATTAAAAATACAGAGAAATTATCGAGAAGACAATAAAAACTAATGTTCTATATTTCAAAACTTCAAGACAAGGTAATTAATGAAAAACCACACCCCACTTTAAATATTTGCAAAGCATTATGTCAAAATGTGATCATGACCAAGATTAAGGTGCCCGAAAGAAATAATGTTTTTGACAGAAAAAGTAACTGAATAAATTGAGGTTTCTTTCAGGCAGAGCCTGAGGCATTCCTTCAAGAACATTTTTTCTTAAGTACCATGTAATCCCCTAAACTTGCAATATTTTCAAAATCTGAACACTGAATAGATGTCTTTCTGTTGCCAAGGTTGTTTTGCTCATTTGGGGTAACTTCTGTAAGTTTGGGCTGGGTGCAGCGTATGCCTACGCCCTGAGCAGGTCAGGTGTCAGAGCAGGATCCTGACACTGAGCCCCTCTGCTCTGGCCAGTGTACAACAGAAACCTGTCTTTAGACAGGGGCAGCTGCAAAGTCAGTTAAACAGACACGGTAAATAAATTATTTAACAAAATTTGTACATCCTTAGAGTATAATACATTAATATGCCACAGCCAGTGTGAATTTGTCAAAACAGAACAATGGCAAACCAGCCCAGTTGCCATCTTTGACAAGGCAGCAGGACTTTTAGCTAGAAAAGGGGGCAGGAGAAAGCAGGAGCTACAAGGTACCTCAATTCCCCTAAAATCAAGGCTTGGGACACATTCCACGTGATGTTCTTATAAGCTAACAAGGGAATGAGGATCCATTATTAATTTCCTCATAGATAGGCTTACAAATGATTGAAAGCCTATTTAAATTCTCAAGGATTTTATGCCAGATGAGTGGAGGTTCCTGAGATGGGGAGGATTTCTCCTCTTTTCCAGGTGCTCTTTAATATTTTCTGTAGCTGATGCATAGTGGAATAAAAATTTCTTCCCAAGCTGGCAGATGATGCCAGACAAATGGGACTATAAGAACTCTGGAGGACATGATCAGGATCCAAACCAATTTTACTGCACTGAGTAAAATGGACTGAATTCCATCAGCTTACACCCATTCAGGAAAGGCAGCTAAAAACGCAGTATGTATGAACATCGCTTTTGGTTTGTCCTGCAAAAGATTTCTAATGTAGATCTGTGAAAGGTGCGGGAAGCCAAATCCTAGGGTTTTCACAAATGCTTCAGATCCTAGAGCACAATGTTATTCCTCTGTAGTCCCTCTCCTGGTCCTGGACCCTATCCTGCTCTTTGCCTCCCTCAATGAAGTACCAGCCCACTGGACAGAAATTAGATTAGTTGTTTTCCCACTGCTGAAAAAGAAATCAGCTCCAGCTGATTCTGAAAAGAAATCAGCTCCAGCATTTTGTGAGGGTGCTGGTCTCCCCCAGTGTGGTAGGTTCTACGGTAATTTCTGAATCTCTTTTGGCATTCCCTCAACCAGGAAAATACTTCGCAGTGTTGAAGGATGTCTAGAGGAAACAGATATCTTGTTGCAGTGAGTAATATCAAACTATTTTGCAAGTTCTATAAAAATGTGAATTAACATTGTGTATCTCACTTCCAACACTAGATTTACCTCCGATCAGGAGACTCATGGAATAGATACTGCCTTCCTTTGGGGACCTGCTTTTATGATTGCTCCTGTTCTTCAAGAGGCAAGTACTGTAATTAAAAAGTGCCACCATACTGGAATAAAAGAAATGAACTGTGCTTAGGGCATTGACGTTCAGGGCATGTTTGCTCATATCCACCCATTTCTTTCCTCCACTGTCAACGCTTGCAGAACGCACTTCTGAGCAGCATAGACAGTGAGGATGAAAGTGAGGGCACAGCATTTCCCTGCTGCTCCAAGTGCAGAATGGATGCAAACAGGCTGGATGCTGCCCCTCGTGTGCTACTGTTATTGTGCTGACAGCTCCCTCCACGGACACACACAGAGCAGTAATTGTTGAGCTAGGAAGAAACATGCAGACATTAAAGCAAAATGGTTTCCATATTACCACTCACCCGCAGCAATTTGGAACTGCAGCATCTCAAGGGCTGATCTAGGAGTTTCCCAGCATCACAGGCAAATGCCGTCGTTACGGAAATGGTGATGACTATGTCAGCTGCTCATATGACAGGTTTTAAAAAGCAGCGCTTTCCTATGGCTGTGCTGGGCATGGCGCTGGGCTCCGGGCTCTCACTGGAGCAAGGTGGGGTTTCTCTCCTTGCCCCACCACTGACCTCACTGCAAAGGTATATCTGAGCAGAGCCGAACGTTTGCATGTGACACATCCTAGTGCTCTTTGTGATCAGCGTGCTGCCAGAATACCCAATGTGTTTTCTAGGCGTTGCTGATGGTCAGACATAAACAGGCCACTGTTAGTCACCCTTTTTTATCCAGCCCTTGTGTCTCTGTGAATTCTAAAGGAAATTCTTATTCCTGCATCCAAAACCATCCAGACTCAGCTGAGGCACTTCATTCGTCAGTCCTTCATCTTCAGACTCCCTCAGGTTTCTAATAGCTGATGACTAACAGAGATTTCACAGTGTCTCAGACCAGCAAGATGATGAAAGATGTGAGAGAAACCTTCCCACCCTAGTGACAAGCCAGGGGTGGCTTCCTGCAAAGAAGAGAATGAAAGGGATCATTATAAGGATATATAACATGATAGGGGGTCTAGATAAGGAGTCCCTAATGTTTCTGGGGCGACTGCAGCACAAAAGAAGGGTTGATGTGTGTGGCCTGATGGGGGAAGCAGAGCTTTGGAGACAACACGTTGCTGGGTCCTGAGGTGGGAGAGAGATGGCAGGCAGGGCTTGTGCCAGCTAGCAGGGCAGGGGTCAGAAGGGAGCTGTAAGCCCCTCACTGTGACATTGCAGGCCAGCAGTGACTGCCTTAAACGGCAGCATGGCACCCGCTTGTCAGGAGAAGATGGGTCAGGGACAGCTTTCCCTTTGCTCCTTGAGTCCTAGGCTGTGAGCATGTGAGACACCGATCAAAATTAAAAGGAGGAACTGCCTTACACACTGGCTTGTTTTTAGGGAGTCATGAAGACAAGGCTTATCACAGTGGTGGTTGCACACTTCTCGCTGACCAGAATACCCAGGGTTGTCATACTAATGCAGAGAAAATATGGGCCTTTCCTTCAAGTTTTCAAGATGCTTTATAGATTATGCCTACCTTTATTTGTTAAACAGTTGGTAAGACCTAAACAGACAGGGTGAACTACCCCAACCTTCCTTAGAAGACTGTCTGAAACAGTCTCTGAAACCCACTGCCCACTGTGGGAGACAGACCACAGGACAAGACGAATTTCCAGCTTAGCAATTCTTGTATGCTAATGGGAGATTTGCATACCTTAATAAATCAGTTATTTCTTATTCCTTCTATTGGTTTTTATATATACATATATATATATATACACGAAACCCCTAAAATGTCAAATGTTAACTTTGCCTCAACTCTTCTCCTCCACCTTTGCTTTTCATGCTCTACCTGCTCCCTGGGGTTGACCTTGGGGGTAAGCCATAATTCTGCAAAGGGGCAGATGTCTATGTTGAAAATCAAAATTAAACTGTGAGAATAAGCAACTCACAACAACAACAACAACAACAAAAAAAGTATGGCTTGATTCCAGCTTTTCCCAGAGATATTAACTCAAATTGCCTTTAGTATGATTTCATCCCCACAGCAATATGTTACAATGCATGCTGCAAAACGTAGTACAGCAGTTGTGCAGGTAGCAGCACATTATTTATTATTATTTATCTGCAACTTTAAATTGTTGCCAAGAAGACAAATATCTGTGTATCCTCCTTGCCATACCTTACTCTCTGCCTATTTCTGCA